CCTCATCTGCTGCCTTCGGTGACCGAACCGCGCGCTCGCTTCCTGTTTTCGAATGCGAGCTTCGTAGCCAAGCCTAGCAACTCGGCGAAATCGGTGCGCGGCACTTTATACTGTCGTCGTTGCGCAGTGCAGTGGCTGGCAATGCTTGCACATGTCGCGTGGCCATCACTTGGCGGGCCACCGGATGCTGTTCTGTGTGATGTAATTTCGTGGTGACCTGACTCGTGTGCCGCTCGCTCACTGTGAGACCGACACCCAGCGCGCTGGCACACCATCTGCACCTACTGCGTAGGCTCGCGCAACCGCCTTGCGAGGGGGCAACGTCCAACGCGCTCGGCCCGGCCGTTGATCATCGAGTTTGCCGGCCTTGCGCATCGCCATTTCCATGACAGCAATGCGGATGAAATTGGAGTTCTCACGTGTCTCGCGCTGTCGCATACCCCCGGGAGGATAGGAAAATGCCGTCTGCTGGGGCGATTGCGCCGGAGGTTGGTACGGGGCTGCCTGTGACGAAGAGGACGAAGTAACGGGGTAGACGATGCGAGTCGACGAGGGTGACGCGCTACGAGATCGCTGTACCTTGTAAGTTTGCATCTGGATGGATGCAGTATAGGTCCTCGTAGGCGAAAGAGCGGCGGGATGCGTTTCGAGCCGGGCGCTCGTCGTGGGATTGAGATAACGACGGAGAGCAGCCGACGGCTCCTCCTCCAGGACTGGAGGGCGGCGCTCATCCGTATAAGGAACCTTAGGATCGATGGTCAGAATCGAGCGAGTGAGGAAGTCGTCCGGAGGAATGGACGATAGGTTGAGGGCCGAGATAGACCTGGCCGCCGATTTCAAGGCACGAAGGGAGGCAGTGAGGTTGGACTTGAAAGCCGACTTGAGGGGGCGTAGAGGAAAGGCAAAGTCCGAAAAGGACAGCTCAGACCGGCAGTCCTCACTATCCTGTGGCTCTGCGAGCTCGTCGTAGTCCAGGGAGTCTGACGAGTCCTCGTCGGACATGGATAGAGGGTGATCCTCGCACATGCCACACGGCGAGGAAACAGGCTCGAGAGATCGCCTGGGTTGCTGCGAACGTTTCCCTGCGCACGCGCATTGTGGAGTGAAAGGGGGTCTCAATGGACGACACTCCGTCGGTCGCAAAAGAGTCGCCTAGAGAAGGGATTGAGTCCATCGAGATTGTCCTGGTCGAGAAGGCAGAGCCCACGCCGCTGCCACTGAGAATCGACATGCTTTCGTCGTCGCACATGTCCTCAGGAGGAGACAAGAGGAGATCCATGGGGCTCCGGTCAAGTGTCAGACTGAGCTCCTTATCGGAGACCTCTGACAATCGATAATGGCCTCGAGTGTCAGAGACTGGTCCTTCGAGATTCCCCCTTGCCCTCCGCTGCCGAGGACGAGGGATATCGGTGACAGACAGCAGAGCGCGCATGGCGGCGGGTATAGAGTCTGGGTCGTGGACATACCGCGGACGTGTTGCCTTTCTCTGACCATGATGTCGGTGATTCCGGGAAGATAAACCCTTGGTCTTCGAAGCAGAGATTTGAACGGGACTGGTGGGTGTCGTGGGCCTTGTGCTCAGGCTGGTGGTTGTCCGGGGCGGGCTCGAAGGCGAGAGCCTCGTTGTCTCGTGGGTAGACTTGCGTTTCGACATGACGTGTGGGGCGCTGTGTTCAGTAGCAGGGATGGGCTCGACGGTAACGGTAACGTCCTGAGCATACTTTCTCTGCTGCGAGGAAGAGGAGGCTGCCGGCGAGCTGGGAAAGAAAATGTCGGAGTTGTGTGGTTTGCGGTGGGAAAGAATGATGGCAGGAGGGCTCGAAGATGGGGAGGGAGAAATCGGGGGCGAGGGGAGGTTGTGTTGTAGGCGTTTGGTGGGTGTATGAAGTGGCTGTGGGTGTTGCTTGGAGTAAAGGAAACTCCTCGGGGACATCATGCTGACTGACTCGATAACCCTGGCCCCGGGCGGAAGGGCGGGGGCATGCCGGACAAGGATGGGACAGGGCCTAAGGCTAAGGCAGAGCGGGACGCGTTTGCGCCAAATAGGGGACCTTCTCTTCTGGCTCTGGATGTTCCGGGGGCTCGTATACCGCTGATGCAGCGCGACACTTGGGCCCAGGGGCGTTTGGATCTAGGGGAGGGGGGTTTCCGTAACGTAACGGCTGTTCAAAGGCAGCAAATCAGGGTCGCCCGAAATGAACCGGTTTGTGCAGTCGCTGATCCCACGATTGTTCCTACAGGACCAGACGGGATAACAGCAGCTCTGCTAACGACTATGACGCAAGGCCGCTGGTGGTGCTCGTCAATGAAAGTTCGGGAGCTCGACGGAAGCAGAAAGTTGTAGTGTGACCGTTGTTGGGAGATGAAGCGCACGTCGTCGAGCACTGCGATTTTCCCCCAAGCCGAACGGGGCTTCTCGAAGCTGGCGTTTGGTGGGTTCTGAATGGAAGGGATTCGATCAGCGAGGTGCAAAGTGGCAGAAGGAGATTGGCAGATCAAAGGGAAGAGAGTGGTTGGGTGGCAGGTTTGGACGTCGATGCATTTGCGACGCGGGCCAGGGACGCACCTTGTACAATTGGACCCCTAAGCAATGCATGCCACAGCGGTCAAACTGGCACGACGCGAGCTGGGATCTGATCGCTGGGGGGAGGGGTCGGGTGTCATGTACGGGCGGGTCAGCCCAGTGAACGTGGTGGGGGGTGGCTCGATAGACGGTCGGAAACTATGGTCACGAGGCCTATGTGCCAGGCAGAATTGCTTTGATGCCTGGTGAAGTGACTTTTCGATGGCCGGGCAGGGAAGAGCAGGAAGCGAAGAAGGACAAGAAGAAGAGACGGACGAAAGCGGTGCTTTGGTGTGGCAGCGTCTTCAGGTATATCTCGTCTCAGGGCGGGCGGTTTATCTCGTCGACTCGGAAGCACCAATCTCGTATCGGAACAAGACAGGGCAGGGCCCGACTCAGTTGAGCGTGCAAGATAAGGGAAACGACGAGAAGCTGCTGTGCTCTGAGGACTCTTTCCAGTCCAAGCGGACAGCCAGCCCACTGCAACCTGGGGAAATACCACCCCCCCTCTGTGCCTGCCTGCTTTGCCAGCCCATCTCCGGACGGCAGTCGCGGGATGTCGACAAAAATGGAAGGATAGAAACCCGTCATACCTGCCCAATGTGGTGTCTGCTCCAATGAACAGCGCTGATAAGCATTTGCGAGGTCGATGGCCCCAGCCAACCGTACTTGCTAGACACTTCCTAGCACACGTGCTACCCACAGCACTAGAAAGCCAATTCTTATCTTCAGTTTAAAAAGTGCCCTCTGACTGGCTGGTCACCCCCCCCCCTTCTAATGTTTTGGCCGTTTCCAGTGCTCATGCACTGGTCACTGGACATGGTGGTCAGTCTGTCGGCTCCGGCATCAAACACAAAAGGGCATGCACACGACACAAGTATCGGGGGAACGGCCATCGGCCCCTTCGGACATCTCCTGCTGTGCTGCCTACACGTCTCACGCTCACAGATCAGGCCCCTGGGTGGCGTGAGATGCCCCTTATCAGCGGCCAAACATCAACCTTTGCCACGCAACCCTGCGTCAGCTCGGCTCAGCTCAGCATCCCTTCATGCCCAAAATGTCACCAATGAGCGACCCAGACGGACAGCCACGAAAAGGTTGGGGAGTGAGGCAGATGCGCAGCATGTCAGTCGCCCGAAACTAGCGGACGGAACGCCCAGCGAAGCGCCCCCCCGCGTGACCCCAGCTGCGA